ACACCCTGAGTTAGGGGACACCCTGGGTTAGGGGACACCCTGCTCCTTAACAAATGTTCCCCATTGTTCTGTGTTGAGATACAGTTGCATGTAGATGCTATATAAATCCAGATTGCTTTGTGTAACAGGATTTCTCATCGTTCCAGGACATTTCACTTATAATAGTGTGAAAATTGGGCATACATTTCTCAAAGACCCAAAACCTCATCTGGAGGGCTCGGTGCTACCGTTTTCGGATGAGAGTGTGTACCTGGAAAAACGCTCTGTCCTCTGTTTAATGACATCTGCGATTCACTTTGATCCACAGCAAATTCATCAACATGCTGATGAAGGGTGGAAACAAGGTGCTGGCCAGATCCATTATGCAAGAGGTAAGGGAGCAACAGCCACAGTCCGGAGAAGCGACCACCCTCGCACGGCAAGACTCGCGGCCAGCGGGAAGCACCGACGATTCAAATGGCACTTCCCCCTTGTGTGCAGACGTTGGAGCTGATTAAGCGCAAGCAGCTGGAGACATACTATAAGACGCCGGAGCCCGAGCGAGACGCCATTGAGTGCAACCCCTACACCATCTTCCACACGGCCATGGAAAACTGCAAACCGGTCATCGGCCTCGTAACGGTCAAGAAGGGAGGCAAAAATTACCAGGTGAGAGGTCAACTGATACCATGTCAGAGGACCGAGCCGACACCACTGAGAACCTGTTGACAAGTGACTCATAGTGAGAACCAATAATGTTTTGTATCCACGTAATTCAACTCAATGTTGTATTGAGAATTTAAAATGTTCAGTTATATTTGCATGTGCTGTGCAGGGCATGTAATAGATTGTGTCCCTAGCATGGCACAGAGGCCTTCTGATGTGATTTCAGAAGTAGTTGTGTGATGTGCTACAAACTGCGAGAGTTTTGAATAATAACGTAAGCATTGTAATATAATCAAGGGGAGGCAATGCTGGGGTGTAGGAACAAAAATAAGATACAATCTGAGACGACATACACATTAACAACCTTTTGTGTCCGATTTAAGTAATTTACCATGTTCTTTTTGCACAAAAGATAGAAGCTGCTTACATCGATCATTCCGTCACATCCCACCTCTGTGCCATTATCATTCTCCACCCTGTCCCACTCCCACGGCGCCCACAGGTGCCGACACCGCTCAAGGACAACCGGCGGCGATTCCTGGCGATGAAGTGGCTCATCACGGAGTGCCGCGAGAACAAGGCGCGCCGCTCCCTCATGCAGCAACGGCTGTCCGTGGAGGTCCTGCGTGCGTTCACCAACGAGGGCAACGTCATCAGGCGCAAGCATGACCTGCACCGCATGGCCGAAGGCAACCGCGCGTTCGCGCACTACCGCTGGTGGTAGGGAGGGTGCCAATGCGAGCACCACTCGTCCGCCCACCAATACCCTTGCTCCGTCTCTGCACCGCCACCGCCATCTAGTGTTGTGGGAAGAAGGAGGCAGAGCAGCAAAGTTCATTGTTCTGTACCCCCCCCCCCCCATCTTCATCAATCTGTGCTGACAGTGCACGGTGAAGTCCGGTTAAATAAGCCTCACTGCCTCCATGATGCGGGTAGACCCTCATCCGGCAGTGGCTTGATACGCAGGCTGTACGTGTGACAGTTGTGGCAAGTGACCTATGCTATCCTAAACTCCAGTAGTTTGGCGCTTGAGGATGCGCCGATCTCGGGGTTCGGCTGTGCGGCAACCTGGACGATGGGAACAGACACTGACGTGCGCGGGGTTGCCACCTGAGAGTTACAAAAAAAAACGGGACCTATCATGGGAAGCGGAATATTTCACAATATAGTAAGAGGGGAGAAATATGCGAGTGGTGTGTTATTGCACAACTGCTCAAATTCTGGGACTATTAACGTCACGGGAAGACGCAGACATTTTCTCGGACAGCCACCTCAAAACGAGGACGATCCTGGGAAAATCAGGACAGGTGGCAACCCTGGCCAATGCGGTACTGTCCTGGAGCCGCCCGTCCCAAAGCGTGGTGGTGGTGGTTATGGGTTGTAATTATGCATCGATTCATGATCAGTTCTCTGAACGTGCGATTCATTTAATCGAATTTACGTGTGTAAGAATCAAGGTGTTTTTTCGATTCCTACATGCATGTAATAGGTTCACGTGATCATCCCCTGCAGAGTTGCTAGATGCCGCTACGTTCATCACATTGTAAATATATATAATGGAATCTCAATCCTGAATCGCGATAATTGAGTGGATTGCCAGCGAGATAATCGCTCTGCTCCTAATAGTTATCAGCAACCACGCGACTGCCCTGTGCCCTCTGTATTTACGGTCAATATTTTGTGTACTTTAATGTAACCTTGTTCCGCGTTTTGTTTTCACGTGTTCAAGTTATATTTGTGGATTATAAATTTCTACCAAAATAAAACGTGGGAAAGTGTTTCAGATTTTTTTTAGGAGTGTTTTGTAAGGTGCAGTATCCATCTTATTCGGTTAAACAAATTATTTGATGCTGCTGGTGTTGCTGCTGCGATGGCATTGGTGCACACGCAGAACAACAAAAAATCAATATCTGTCAATTATTGTTATTGACATGTATTGAGTTATTCAGTTACAGATGAACTTGACATTAATTCAGATTTCCAATGAAGTCATAAATCAGTATACCTAAAGATATCCAGGAGGCACCTGTAACATTTAGCGTTGGGTGAGAGTACAAGGGCTATGTTTTAAACAGGGGGGTGGTGCAACAATATCTTGTACTCTACTACACTCCAAAGGCTACGCTCCCCACCTTCAATGGTCTGAACTGACCAGCGTGGCGAAGTATGGTGAAATTACTCCCAAGCGTTGTACATGGCTATTTGTGCATAATTAGGCGTATAAGGTTCAGAGGAGTGCGGAGTGATGGTACTTTGGAAGAATTAAACATTTGAGCAGATTTTACAGTTGCCCTTTTGGTTTCACACGTAGCAGGCTTTCGCGACCAACGTTATCCATGAGAGGTTTTTGGGTTCGATCACGGAAATATAGATGCGTCGTTAATCCCGCCACCACCTGACACAGCCAATTAGTAAGGTTTGTCACGTAAACAAAACATGCCAATTCGTTACTCGTTCAGCACACCCGGTGTGTTGGAGAGTAAACCCACAAAATGTACAATTCGAGTACGACGTTTCGCCAGTAATTACAACTAGCATCATCAGGCAACAGCCAGAGGGATAAATGTGATGGCACTTGTGAGCCAATGTGGGGGGGGCGGTTAACGTATGCATATAAATTACAATGATGTACACCATGCATGTACATCCTGCCGTTTTTAGAAAACGTTACTTGTGATACAATGATGAAATGTGACTTAACCAGATATATGGCTCGAATCATTCCCATGACTAATAAAACACACAGGCGTGGAGTTGTGACTAGTTTACACTGCGGGACACTGTTTTGATTAAAAAAAAAGTTTAGCCGTGTGTTGCTGGCGTCATTGTCTAAAACGTGAACACAAAATTATCCGCAAATAATCCACGGCAACATCACCCCTCCATTGGCAGATTCGTGCCCCCAACCCCAAACCAGTTTTTTTTCTGCCCGTGCCACCCAACCACCAACCACCCACCACCCCACCAAAACAAAATCCTTTCGGTGGATTCGCAGGCTACGGCATGGACACCGTGCAGGAGAAATGTCGACTGAGCCTCGTGGAACGCCAGTGTCATCCAGCAGGTGGATAAACCACAGCTGCCCGACAATGGCGATGACGCACCCAAGCAGCGGTTATCGCGCGAGTGCGTGATGACGTAATCACGCAGGGTAGCTCCTGTTGCGCGAACACCGCCCATCTGGTGAAAGCAGAGGTGGGGGGCGTGCGTGATGATGTCATCACGCAGGGTAGCGTCTGTTGCGTGATTACGTCATCGCCCATCAGGTGAAATCGGGAGGTCCGTGCGTGAATACGTCATCACGCAGGGTTGCGCCTGTTGCGCGATTACGTCATCGCCCATCTCGCTTCGGAGAAACGGGGGGGTAGATGGGTGGGGAGGTGCGCGTGCGTGCGTGATGACATCATCACGCACGGTAGCTCCTATTGCGCGATCACGTCATCGCCCATCTCGCCCCTGTGTATCAGGGGGGGGTGGGAGGATGCGTGCGTGCTGACGTCACCGCGCTGGGGGCGGAGGCCGCTGCCACGTTGCGCCGCCCTCAGGGTCCAGGTTGGAGTCGCGTGGTGGTGGGGGGGTGGCCGATCCCCTGGGGTTGGAGCGACACCCCGAGCGGACCGGGGTCACAGTGAGGGGCCACAGCGGGGTGGGGGAGCCCACGCCGGGAACAGGGCCGTGCCGGAATTACGGCGAGACCGCAAAGGTGATCGGGGCCACATCGATCGGAGCGGGGTCTCAGCGCACAGGGGAAGAGGGTACCAGGGCGTGAGGGGGACCAGGGAAGAGCAGCAGAGAGTATCATCGGACTGGGGGTTCGCTCATTATTTCATTCACAGCAGCGCTGTCGAGTTTGACGTAACAATAAACATCGCGAGTGCGTTTCATCGGGACCTATAACGAAATTCGCAAATGTAATTGATCCCCTCAGAGCCTCGTCTCATCTGATCGCCGCCAAAGTGAGACCGGCACCGCAAGGTTGAGACCCACAGGGGGGGGGGTGTTGGGGGGGGGTCTGTGTCCAATGGAGACATTCAACAGCAGCAGCAGCAGCGCCGCGGGACAGGAGCGATGGATGGAACAGCGCGACCTGGAGCGTGGTGAGTGAGGGAGCGCATCAGCACCATCATCATCATCAGCACCACCATCAGCACCATCATCACCACCATCAGCACCACCAGCACCACCATCACCACCATCATCAGCACCATCATCACCATCATCACCACCATCAGCACCACCATCACCCCCATCATCACCACCATCAGCACCACCACCAGCACCACCATCACCACCATCAGCACCACCATCATCATCACCATCATCACCACCATCATCACCACCACCATCACCACCATTACCAGCCGTGCTCGATCCACTGCTGGATGAACGTCTCCCTTACCCCTGCCGCCGCCGCCGCCGCCCATCTCGAGCACCTTGCACGGCACACGCGAGGCGACTTTCCTCGCTCCCATCGTCGTCGTCTCCTCTCGGCCGCTTCGCTGTCATCGGCGATGGCGCGGTTCGGTTGTTGGCGCGCGGTTATCGTGTCGCGCGCATCGAGAGTGTTATCGATAGATCGATGTTAATGTGCCGTTCTGTTGAGGGACTACTGTTGTGTGGTGTTATCGATAAGATCGATGTTATTGTAACGTTCTGTTGAGGGACTACTGCTGTTGTGTTATCGATAGATGGACGTTAATGTGCCGTTCTATTGAGGGACTATTGCTGTTGTGTTATCGATTGATCAATGTTAATGTGCCGTTCTGTTGAGGGACTACTGCTGTGTGGCGTTATCGATAAGATCGATGTTATTGTAACGTTCTGTTGAGGGACTACTGCTGTTGTGTTATCGATAGATGGACGTTAATGTGCCGTTCTATTGAGGGACTATTGCTGTTGTGTTATCGATTGATCAATGTTAATGTGCCGTTCTGTTGAGGGACTACTGCTGTGTGGCGTTATCGATAAGATCGATGTTATTGTAACGTTCTGTTGAGGGACTACTGTTGTATGGTGTTATCGATGGATCGATGTTAATGTGCCGTTCTATTGAGGGACTACTGCTGTGTGGTGTTATCGATAGATGGACGTTAATGTGTCGTTCTATTGAGGGACTATTGCTGGTGTGTTATCGATTGATCAATGTTAATGTGCCGTTCTATTGAGGGACTACTGCTGTGTGGTGTTATCGATAGATCGATGTTAATGTAACGTTCTGTTGAGGGACTTCTGCTGTGTTGTTATCGATAGATCGATGTTAATGTGCCGTTCTATTGAGGGACTACTACTGCTGTTGTTATCGATAGATCGATGTTAATGTGCCGCTCTGTTGAGGGACTACTACTGCTGTGGTGTTATCGTGGTGTGGTCAGGGATTGTTTTGCTATTTTCTGCCTCGCCTAAGCGCGATAAATCGGACTAAATGTGTGTATCGTGTAAGTTATATTTAGTGCCTTCCCTTTCAAGCATTTTCTCACATTTTTTGCACCCCATATCGTTTGCTTCATAGCTCATCGGATTCCTCCAGTCTCTCTTAAATAAAGAGCCCACCCCCTCTTTGTCATTGGGGTCATTGTTGAATGCTTCACTAGTGACGAGGGTGCATTCCGGATTTTAGGGCTAGGCACAGACGAGACAATGCCCTGTGAGGCTGGCGCATATCGCAAATAACTCGACGCGGTAACATTGAGTGGCCCTGAATTAGATATATTATCCAGTACAGGTTCCCCCCCTCCCTCCCTCCCTCGCTTTATGCGGTAGTTGGTGGTAGATGCGTGTCAAAAAAGATGTGGGCGCACAATTCGAAACCGCACGAGGAGACAACTGCCTGCCGAGTCTCGAGCGCGCACAGTGCACACACACACACACAATGTTGTCCCACGTCCTCCGATTAGCTCAGTTGGCCACGTACGGTACGAAGGAAGTTCTACGTATAGGGGCACAACGATCTATTTTCAACGGGGGTATGCAAGCTACGACATTCTCCCGACTCTTTTACTGAAATAGCTACGGATGTGTTTAACCCGTATACAATAATACGTAGGCTAGAACTATATTATTTTAGTTGCACCGTGCATTGGGTTTAGAGGAAGACAGTTTCACCACAGTGACAGTATTCATCAAAAAATACATCTTGAAAGGTACAATACTCACAATTAACTTACCATGCGTTTTGCTTTCATGCCGGCTCCATCGGTCTAGGATTGTCTCAAAGGGGGTAGATCGCACAACGTTATGCTGCTAAATTGATAAGATAGCCACGGATAAGTTAATTGTGCTTGGTCCATAGTAGACCGCAGGTAATTTTTAATTAATAGATTTTTAAAAAATCGTTTTGTGACCGACTGGGCCCCTATGCGTCGCACAACGCTGCACAATAACCTTATTCAATGCCAGGCATTGATTTTCGCCCAGATCCTGTGCTATTGTGTTGAACTTTATGAAAATATATTCCACAGTTTTGACAATATTACCAAGGCTGACCTGAGAAATGTGTTTTATTGTGGAAAGAGTGACAATCTTAGCTGTGATAGTATAGAAAGTCTAGGTGGGATAGCATAGATTACACTACATATAAATGTAACGGTTTTATTGCCTTCCTGCCAAATTACCTGTCACAATTGCTATGAACGCTTTAACCAAACTCGGTTATGTCCGAGGTTGTTGTACACGGCCTATTTACAAGTGTGACAATATTATTTTGGCACCCTTTTTGATTTATATCAAAGCACAACGTACTTTATAAATGTTGTATCCTGTTTGCAGTAAGTTCTGGCGTGGGTTTCGTGTAAATATTTTGTTGCTGTTGCTCGTGTTCGTTTGCACATTCCGATGCGTGTGTCACATCCGGTAACTGCCATCACTGCCGACGTCCTTGGTCTTGTGGTCTTCCTTGTACAAGAGCCGGTTTAGCTCGGTGGACCTTAGCAGCTGAAATACAGTACCGAGTCTCAATTTTAAAATCGATGGAGCGGCAGCCGAGGGAGGGGGGAACGCCTGTGGCGGTGCGTACCGCGGAGATGGAGCGATGGAATCGGCACTTTGCGCAGGTGCTTCGGAGAGCAATGCGTGAGAAAACAACGCGAGATTGTGACTGTTTAGGGGAAGGTTTTTCGTCCAGCAGTGGACTGATCATGGATAATAATATACCGTTGTCATGCGGGGGTACTGCTTGGGAAGTTGACAATTGTTGGGCACTTTTGGCAAATTTCAAAGGGAGAGCTTGGATGACATTTGATTTTCGAGAGTTGTGTAACATGTGGTTAACGGCACAGGGCAGTTCCAGAAAACAGTGTATTTAACTGGCTTTGTGTTCATGTAATGCGATAGGACTACTGTCCCCGCAGATGTGGGACAAGAAAACAGTTTTACCTACTACTGCCCCTAACCATAAACCCTAACCATGAATCCTAACTGCAAACCCAGACCTCAAACCCCAACACCTAACCCGAACTTTATTTATTTGCAGCATCTGCAGGGACAGTCGTAGTCACTCCCAGTGTAATATTCAAGTGCGTTTGGCCATTTGTAAAGACGGATTTTCATTTTGTTATTTGATAAATCCTGTGGGATTTAAATTACCGTTCTTGTGATTGTGCAACTACTTAACATACCAACCTGAAATTAGTCCATTCATTCAGTAATCCCCAAACTCGTGTTTCTAATCATCGAGAGTATTTATCAAGGAAAGGCTCGGCAAGTCTCACGACACTTTTTTCACGAGGTGCCTATGCCGTGTCGGCTTTGGCCAATTCCATGTTTGAAGGAGTCCTCTTTTGCCAACTGCCGTGGATGTAAACATAACAAAATTTCTCCATTCCCAACGCAACACTTTCAACCAGAATCTGCATTATGGACTCGCAATACAGGAAATTCTCACTGAGCCTCAAAGGCCCATTTTTAGCAAGCAGGTTCTTGCATTGGTACGTGTGGCCAATTCCACTAACGGGCGCTCGAGTGAAATACCCAGCGATACTGCATTGCTCGTCAGCATTGCTTTCCCTGTGTGCGGTGAAAGTGAGTCGGCTAGTGCAGGGGTCGGCAAACCGCGGATCCGGAGCCGTACGTGGCTCTTTAAGGACTGCTTCGTGACGTTATTCACATATAATGAGTTATTTACCGAATTATTTTGGTTGCCAACCCCTGGGCTAGTGAGTTAAACGCATTTAGCCACTTTCCCCGAGTTTGTGAAGTTGGCTGCTATTCGTTGCCATACAACTCATCTAAAGTGCAACATTTTGCTTGCAAACACAACCTCACTTATTATTGGCTGCACTGCTAATAAAATCACACTGAGGCTGTATTGATCCAGAGGAGCGCATTCCGCGCGGTGAAATGTCTGTTTCACATGACGCCGCTAAACCCCCGCCGGGGACCGATGCTCGGCCCACGGGGGCTCCAATCACAACGCCGAGCCGGTAATGCCGAGCAAAGTACCGTGGGTAGACGCTTGTGTGCGCTCGCGCTCGGTTGTGAAACACCGGCGGGCGCTAACGGGACGTGCTGGCCCGCATAGGCTCCAATCCCAATGCCGAGCCGGCGATGCCGAGCAAAGCACCATGGGTAAACGCTTCTGCGCGCTCGCGCTCAGTTGTGAAACACCAGCGGGCGCTAACGGTACGTGTGTGTGCGTGCACGCGTGTTGCGTGTGTGTGTGTGTGTTCCATGCTGTGGCGTGTGCAGACTTGCAGCTCGCTGCCAAGCTTGGCAAGTCGCTGCTCGAGAGGAACAAGGAGTTGGAGTGTTCCCTGCAGCAGCTGTACATCACCAATCAGGACCACGTGCTGGAGATCGAGGTGGGCAACGTGCGTGTCTATCGCTCCGTGCGTGTCTATCCATCCGTGCGTGTCTGCCGCGCCGTGCATGTCTGCTGTGCTGTGCGTCTTGCCGCGCTGTGTGTGTGTGTGTGTCTGTCATGCCCAGGTGTGCCGTGATAAAGGTGTCGGTTAACGTGGCAAAATCTACCACATTGTGTGGATTCGTGATTTCTCGTTTTATTTCTGCACTATTCTTGCGGGTGATGGCAGCAATATGTTCAGATGCCAATGTCGAAGTCTGCTGGCCATGACAAGAGGGCTTTAGGATAGAGTTGGTGTAGTTTTCCCGTTTCTCCATTGAAGGAGTGCAGGCTACAGTGGTTTACTATGTGGTCCATAGTTTGGGTTGCATGGCCACAACTGCACGACTGCGATTTTCTTAAATTTTCTATTTATGAAAGAGATGTGTGCATCGGCCTGTGTCTTGTAGGAGGAATGTTAAAGCCAGGAGGTGCGATGTTTGGGTCTCGAATGAGGTATTTTAAAACATTTATAGAAATGTTCAATGAACATTGCAGCCAGTACAATTTCAAAAAGTGCTTCTTTAGGTATCTTCTCGGTTCGTTATAAGAATAAAAATTATAACATTTAATTGACCATATAATCAGCAGCTAGTCTGAGGACTCCTACTCAGGAGGGTCCTGCATTGGGATGTTTGGCTAGTTTTATGTGCGGCTGGAAACCGGAGTACCTAGAAAAAAGTCCACTCATAATTTGATAGGATCACTCTCTCAGCCCAAACACATGATTTCATAAACCTACTTACTGTTCTACCATCCCCTTCACTGATGCAATTTTCACCAGGTACAAGTGGAGAGTGTGTATACAGTGCACATGTGCTTTTGAGCAAAGCATCCTAAGTGCGTTCGATATCATCAGCTCTGGGAAGCTAAGCAGTCTCGAGCCTGGTTGAGAGAAATCCACCTTATGGGTGGGTTTTCTCCGGGGACGACAGTTTTCTCCCACAAGACGAAAAACTCATTAAATGGAATCGCCCAATCTTGCCGAGGCTTTAATATTTACCGCGTGCGGCACCCGGCCAGCGCTCGGTGCAGCAGTAAAACTTGCCAACGGCGCGAGTCTACCCTCACTCACAAGGGGAGGCATTGGTGGAGCCACACGGGAAGCAGTGCATGTCTGTGTGTGTGTACAGTCGCATCGGCGATAAGCGAGTCGTCAAACGTGATGTGCAAACAACGGGGTTTTTTTTATCGCTTTTGACATTTTATTGCTTCAGACGTTAACAATTTGGGTGTCAAAGGGCACTGATTGGTGAACACCAGCGTCCTCGTGCAATGGGGGGCCAAGGTGAAGGTTGCGCCGTGGGGATTGCGGCCTTTCCCAGGCTCCTGCGTCGCCCACGTTGTCCATTCGGCTTTGGGAAGAGCGCCCAAGTCTGTCGTTGTGCGGAAGGTTAAAGGGATTTATTGTCACGTTTGCAGAAACAAGTTTGAGATGAAGCTGCTTCAGGTTGGTTGCTGTTGCGGAAAAAAAGGAGCCGCCCCATCCTACAAAATGCATCGCCCTGATTGCGTGTTGGCACGACTGTTCGGCGCACAGGAGGAGGAAGAGAAGGAAGCAGAAGGGGCAAGTTGCCCCAGGCTTCACACAAAAGAGGGCCCTGACAACAGACCCGTTTTCTTTTTGTTGCTTTTGATTTAGGGGGCCCCACATAGCCTCCAGCCCCCAGGCCTTGAGACTCCAAGAACCTCTCCATGGCCCTGATTAGGCATGCAGTTATTCACTCTGTACCACCCAGTGGCTCGATAAATTGTCACGTTTAGACAATTAGAGGTCTCGATTCGATTTAAGAATCTATTTTTTTTACCACATTGTTTTGTCCGGCACAAAGGTCGACTAAACAATCATCGATATCTGTTGAAGGGACGCAACTGGAATGCACAGGAGAATACGCGTACCTAGTTATTAAAGGGAGACCAAGATGAAAATACTGAAATGAAAAGGTGAATGGGAGCCGACGAACTGAATAAAAAGCACCATCGCAGGGTGTCTTGAAGAGGAAAGTTTTCAATCGTGGCGTCTCGCTTGCTATAATACATGGATTAGAAATGTGGATAATAATGAAGAGGATGGAGCAAATTTAATCTTCTTTGCAAGCTTGGTGTTACACCGCGATATATAGAGAGCATAGCATGGATTTGAGAAACATGCAGAGTAAAGGTATAATATTTGACTGTTAAGAAAAATAAGTGGGCTTTGGCAGGACACATCTCTAGAAGGGATGTGTGTATGTATGTTGAACTTCTTTCGCATTGTACGTAGCCAACCTTGCTTGATGGCCAGTGGTGAGAATAACTACCTATGTGGCAGCCAAAGGAGGAGGTCTCCCGTGGAGTTGGGAATGGTGGGAGCTGCTCGTGTGCAGGTACCGGGTGCATCGTTGCATCGCGGAATGGGGGAGGCGTTCCTCTAACAGTGGATTGGTCATGGCTGATGGTAATGTTGTTTCCTGCATTTACTGAAAAGGCACCAATGAGCATAGCTTTTACACGCAATTTTCATAAATAATAAATCACCGATACTTACATGTATGACATGATGCGCGTAGCATGAGTTTACGAATCGCTTTCAATAAAAGAATCTGCGGCATTATGCGGTTCTCTCAAGCGGTCTCAGTCGTCACGGCCAGGACAAGCATTCATTATGAACGACCTCGCTCGGCTTTCAGTGAAACCATTGTATTAGCAAATGAATAATTGAGAATCATGCAAGACTTGGGGAATCGGCCTCGCCATTGCCACGGTGATCTGGTGGGTTGGGGAATTATTTTTTTTTTGGTCTGGGCGGTTCGTTAATGGTCGCTTAACGAGCAGCCGGAGTTTCACGATGAGCTCGGGCGCACCTCTCCTCTGTAGCCTCCGTCTGTGCTTGTGGCTCCCTGGGAAAGCCACGAGGTCAAGAACCACGACCATCCATTTACGTTACTTGAAAGACGGCAACGGTGGTGTCGCGTGCGCATGTGACCTGGATTTGTGGAGTCAGCGAGGGTTCGGATGGATTGCGCACATTTTTGCGACTCTCCTTTCCTGTTGGGGTGTCGGGATTCCTATACCCTGGCTGCCCAAGAGAAGGTGGTGTACAGAAAATTTGGATTCATTTAATCTGTTCCTGGCTGCCCTACGGTCTCCTCCCATATGCATTATTAACACTAAATGATTGGCTAAAAATATCTTAACGTAAAATGCAGGAACCCCCTAAAAAAAGGGTCCTTGTACTCGGTTTGGCTTCCGGGGTAAGTAAACTATAATTATTAAACTAAACTTTAGTTTTTTACCAGGTAAGGCCCACTGACGATCACAAATGATAGCTCAACGAAGTGGCTTATGTGGAAATTTCTAACAGCCAAATACTCAAAATTAATTATTATTAAAGGTACCGAGTGAGAGCAAGAGTCGCGATCCAAAAGTGGGCGGGCAGCCTGTATGAGAAAGATGCGGTGGGACGTGGGGAGCGGGAGCCAGGGGCACAGTGACCCCAATCTCACTACTGTTCCTCCACCCCCCCCCACCCCCCTTACTTGACCAATCGCCTGTGCAGCACCTGACACGGCAGCTGGAGCTTCTGCGTGAAAATGGCGAGCGACATGCGCAGGTGTACGAGCACCTGGACGTGGCGTCACGTGACCTCGAGCTCGCCAACCGCCGGCTGCTGCTGGAGGGACGCAACTCGCAGCAGAGGATAGCCGGGTAGGCACCACTACCGTCACCGCCATCGTCACCATCATCACCGTCGTCACCGCTGTGGCACAATATGCTCCAACGCGGATGGAAAACCGCGTCATTGTCATCGTCGTCATTGTCATCGTCGTCATTGTCATCGTCGTCATTGTCATCGTCGTCATTGTCATTGTCGTCATTGTCATCGTCGTCATTGTCATCGTCGTCATTGTCATCATCGTCATCATTGTCATCGTCGTCGTCGTCGTCATCGTCGTCGTCATTGTCGTCGTCGTCATTGCCGTCGTCATTGTCGTCATTGTCGTCGTTGTCGTCGGCGTCATTGTCGTCGTCGTCATTGTCGTCATCGTCATTGTCATCGTCGTCATTGTCATGGTCGTCATTGTCATGGTCGTCATCGTCATCATCTCGCAGTCACGACCACTTGAGAAGAGGGTCTTCGTCCAGCAGTAGATCTATTGTCGCTGATGATAACCATGTTTTCAGTTTTTGTTCCACCACCAGATTAAGAATTCGACTTGGGAAGTAATCGATGACTCTAACGATTATATATATCGGTTCAGTTACTCAGCACACAAGTAGTTGGGGGGGGAAAAAAAGTCTCACCTCTGTTTACACATATGCCGCTTAACAGGAGGTGATGGGCGGGGCTCGGTGATGTCATCGGCATGATCAGTCTCATCACGCTGGGCATGGCTTGTGGGGGGTTTCCGGCCTTCATTTTTAAAGGGGCTCAAGTAATCGACCACAGATAAAGTAGATTACGATTTTTCGTCGATTTATTGACCTCATAATTTAATAGTCCCAGCTCTACAGTTTCTTTAGTTCTGGGGTGGAGCAGCAGTACAATGATTTATGCACTACATTGTGAACTCAGCCACCTGAGTTCTGGTCCTTTCGCATCGGTTGTAGTCGATTACAATTTTTAGTCAAGGAATCATCTTGATGGACTAATCCCCGAAGCCCTTGAGAGTGAGTACCTGGCCGTCGCGTGACGTGTGCATGCGTGTGTGCGGCGGCGGCGCAGGCTGTCGGAGCATGTGGAGGGCCTGCAGGCGCAGGTGGTGGAGCTGCAGAAGCAGCTAGAGGAGCTGCGCAGGTCCGGCGAGGCGAGCGCGCGGCGCGAGAAGCGCGAGCGCCGGCGCACGGTGCACGGCGTGCCGGTGCTGCACGACATACGGAGGTAAGCACGCCAACGTACACGCGCATACGCGAGGACTATTTCGGATCTTTTTTTATTGTTTTTTACGATGTGATTTTGATGACGACGGTGATGATCGTCCGCCGTTTGTTGCCACCGACAGGTATTTGGGAACGGACCGCGTGTCGGCCGATATCCTGGTGAGCGGCCAGGACGGCGGCGCTGACCAGCGGGAGAGCGAGGTGCAGTGCCTACAGCGCTCGGTCAAGTCTCTAAGCGCCAGCCTGGCTCGCGAGCGGGAGCGGTGCGGAAACCTGGATCTGGAGCTCGCACTGGCGCTGGCGGAAAACTCCGACATGGACCAGCGCCTCGCCGACCTGGAGCCCTGGCTGGAGCGCACCCAGGAGCTGGAGAAGGAGCTGCTGGAGATGAGCCGGATCCGGCTGTCCGAGGGCGAGCGCCTGCAGCGGCTGCTGGCGACGGCGGAACTTGCGGCCGAATCTTTGCTGAACGGGGACCGTGGTGTGGGCGACATGGATATCGCGAAGCTGCAGAGCCTGCTGGGACACCCCGAAGCCGACACGGGGTCCAGCGCCGGGAGCTGCCGGGAGCTGGGGGACAGCTGCGACGGGGACAAGACCGCAGCGCACCATACCCATGGCTCCGTGGAAGAGCCAGGTCCCACAGCCAGGGGTCCCGTGTCCATCCTGAGCGAAGTGAGCGAGCAGTATGCCGCCCTGCAGGCTCGCTACGAGGATCTCCTGGCCAGGATGCACGACCGGAGTGTGAACCTGCAGCACCGCGCCGTCCAGACCGGCTCCACCCACTCGGTCGGGCGGAGCAGAGAGATCGCTGCCGCCGCCACCCAAGCAACCGCCGAAACCTCGGACGCCCCGGGAAGCTGGGTGGACATCGGCACGGCGGCTGATTGCGGTGCTTCACACGGTCCCGACGAACTCCCGGCAGGAGCCGGCAGCGCGGCAGCGCCGTGCGCCGAGCACAGCGCCACTCGCGCCCTCAAGCGCGAGGCCCGGAGTGACACGCCCGCCGGTCCTCGCAGACGCGCCGCGTCAAGCGATGGCAGCCGGAGCGCGGGCGGCGGTGCCCGTGGGGAGCCGGGGGAGAGAATGGCAGTGGCAATGGTGGCGCAATACGTCCAGAGGGCGGAGCGGGGCGAACAGCCCGAGTACAAGGCCCTGTTCCAAGAGATTTTCATGCACATTCGGAAAACCAGGGAGGACATTTGTGCTGCCAAGGCTTTGAGGGGCACTCCCAGGCCCCAGCACTCATAACGCTGTCTCTGACTGCCCTACGGTTCCAGGCACCTACTATGCTCTACATTCAGGTGTAACTGAAGGTGGCACATTGATAGATGCAGTGAAAGCTTGGATATGAGCACAGCCCTTGGGAGCAAGGCCATGTGTGTTGATATCCGAAGTAGTGTGTTCGTTTTGCCCATCCCCTCCCCCCCAACCAGTGCAACGTAAGCATGTGTTGCTTATATGAAAACTGTGCTCATATTAGTTGTGGTTATATCCAGTTTATACTGTATTTCTAAGCAGTGATGTAAGAAGGTATCCCAACACTGAACAATTAACACTGCAAATTATTCATTTGGGATTACACATGGCAACCACTGCCCCGACTGCAAAAATTTGGCAAGCCCCTCCTGGAAAAGAGGTGAAAATTTAGTGAGGCCTTCCTTTGCAAACAAGCATAAAAATAATACCCGGGCGGGCGGGTGAATCTTCTACGTGCCGAACGAAAGCTCTGCAGCGTGGTTCTGTTGTAAGGCAGTGCTGCTGCTGATGATGGTGGTGACTTTATATTTTTGCTTTACACGTACTGCCCACACAGCCCCTGCTGTGTTGTGAACCAAAATCAGTTGTCATCAAGTTACTTATTGTTATTTTGACACCTAAAAGAGTGCGGTAAAGGTTTCCACCAAGTGTTGAAACCAACCAGGTCACTAATTCATTCATAACGAATGCAAATGTCTAACTAAGCAGTAATTTATTTGTTTTAATTTATTGTGAAATTAAAATGCAGGTATTTCTTGAGTTTGTAGAGAAATGTTTATCTGCAGAATTGTAATGAACATGAACAGCATCAGACCATGCGTAGGAACAAACAAATGCTACGTCGTGTGAATGAAAATGAAGCTGAATTATTTGAGGTTCTTTAAAAATTATTACTGTGTACACTGCCTATAAACATAAATGTATAAAAGTGTAGTCTTGTGTCATGCATATCTCGACTTCTCTCAGTGGCTTGGGTGGCAGCTGTGGAGGGCGGCACTAGATCGCACACTTTGGTGATGTGGAGCGTAGACGCTTGCGTTGAAACCGACTCCTACTCTCGCGATGCGTACAGCGAATCGTGCGTGCAAGGACGATTTGTTTTTAAAGATTCAAATGACGTGCAAATCACACCTTTAGGCCAGTGCTTATTAAAACTTGTGTTGGCCCGCGGCCCAATCAGCCGATGCAAACATTTCCGTGGATCACACAGCCCCCCTCCCATCCCTTTGTGACAAAACGCATTCACTTCTCTACCGGAACATAAAAAAAAAATGTAAGGCAGCTATAAGGTGTGGGGGGGGGGGGCATTTTAATGTTCGAAACAAAAGGTAAAAACGTCTTTATTTCCGGATCCAGCTGCATTCGCATCACAGCCCAGCGGACCACCTGGAGGACTGTCGCGGACCACTGCTGGTCCGGGCACCACACTTTGAGAACCACTGCTTTAGGCTAACGGGGGCGAATGAAATGGAACAAATTTGAAGAATGGACAGGATAAACGATTCTCGACTTGAATAGCAACGCCGATTTGTGATTAGTTATTAAATTGTGTAGGAGTCGGGGCGAACCACTATATGCCTCGTGAAAAGTAAACTCGTATATATTTGATTTTTTTTAAATAAATCATCTGTTGTTGCTACCTTAATTCCAATCGCCATATTTCTGGCTCAAACGTGTGTAAAAAGAACAATGTACACGCACACAGCATCCCACATGAGCATAAACCGTATGCTATGACGGAAGCTGCTGGTGAGCACCTATTTTAATCACGTGAGAACACAGCATCACCGACACGCAATTACGCGTGACTAAGTGACACGGCTTGACTTGTGCAGTGGAAAAACTGTGACACGACTTGGCTTTTGCAGTGGGGAAAAATAACCTGTAGCCTCCCGTGCCGGGCTGACTTGATACAACAGTGAGTGCCAGTAACACACAGACCTGGCTGTATTTGCCACTAACGTATACGTTAAGTTTAGGTCAAGTTATCCAATCTCAGGTGCCCACTATAACAGGGTGATCACTGCAGGCGGGACCACAGTGCAGTGTGTTTGCTCAACCAACCACAGCAATAAACTCAATTTGGGCGGACCAGATTATTGGGGCGAGTGCTGTTCGTGAACACCAATTAAGGCCCGGCACGGCACACAAGAGGGTGGTGTGGTGAGCATCATTTCGGGCTGTGTCTCCCCATTGGTGAGGTGTACAAACTGCACCAGGTATTAATTTATGGTTGAGTAGAATTTGGTGCAGTGGTGTGGCATCACAGAAGCCTAGGATAGGTTCAAGGCCAAATACCACTCGCCACTGATATTGAACATGGTTGGAAATGTAACCGGGGTTGCCAAACAAACTCCACCGCCACTCTCCCCATAAATACATACACTCGCACACAAAGACAATTACCCCCCCCCCCATTTACCCCTTCAGGCTGTTTGGGCAAGTGCATTTAGCGACCATCTAGTAAGACTCGCACCGTGCAGGAGTGGGATGGTGTTAGCTCAGGGTGACCAGCTACCAAAATGGGACCTATAAATGCTCGTGATAGTGCGTTGTCTTTGTGCTGTGGTCTAACACTGTTTGAGACGAGGCCCTAAAGAAGGCTGTCTCTAGTGTAGGCCAATCTTTTTCAAAGACTACATATTTTATCAGAGCACGTTTGTTTGCATGTTCACCACAAATGTTGTTAATGCAAACATGATTCCTTGCAAAAGGTGTATACAGTAATTGGCGTTTGGATCAAACGGTACTGCACAAATGAGACAGGAATAATGGCAAACATGAACGAGACGGGGTTCTTTCCTCCGGGTCCTGCTGTATGAGCGTCATGGTGGCTAGGAGATGTTAACTACCTCGCCTGGTACACATGAGGCCGTGGGTTCGATGCCTAACCCTGACGATGCCTGCTGTATATGTGGAGTTTGCGTGTCTCTCTCCCCGTGGTCGCGTGGATTTTTTCTCTGGGTCCTCCCGTTTTCCCCTACACATTTAGAATGAACGTGCATTGCGACTCTTTGGACGCTATTAATGTCCACGAGATGAGCCACTTCGTTGGCCCACCATTTGTGGCAGTGGGCCTTACCTGGTAAAATTAAAATAGTTTATCGTTAAAAACATCGTTTTTTTTTACTTGTGTGGAGTGAGTGGAATCTGATTGGGGGCCATCTATTTAGTAGTACGCTTTGAGGGGAGAGGGGGTTAACCCAAATGCGTACGCTTGCGTATGGGGGGGGGTCTACTGACAATGTACGCATAGGAAACGGGGGGGGGGGGGGGGTGAAGCCTCAATAATTTGTCTACATTGGCCTTCAAATGAGTTAGATAGTCCGGCGGTGGACTATCTGTTTGCTTAAACACGTTAATATTATTAATCCTTGATCGTTTCTGCGTGGATTAAATATCGGCCGTTCTATAGGATTCGGGGGGAGGGAGGGGTGTGCGTCAAGCTGTACGTACGCAGCAGGGACGTGCAGTCAGGGGAGGCAGAGCCTCATCTGTTATTCTAATTAAAATAGCTGTTACGAAAAAAAAATATTAATAGTTTTCCACCGATCTGTGTTATAAATGTCATTTCTGTACGATTCCAATCATTTTCATACTCAAAAGTCGCCAAATTTGCGGAGCTCCGTTGCATATACAGGGAGAGACGAGAGGTGAGGCAGCGACGAGCTCAGCCTCCCCTCTGATTGCGCAACCCCTCAGTAACTGGATGTAAAGCGGGCAATACGCGCGTGCCTGTTACTATCTCAGTATGTCACCAATGTAATGGATGGCTTCCTTACGGCGCTATTTCAGGAATATTTTGATGTTTTTTTCCTGGATTTTCTGTTTGCACAGTCGCATAGTCACTTTAAGATGTTTTCTTGTTCATGTTTTTTGTTTGTTGCGGTTGCACCCGATTCAAGAGCCGAATGGCTCACAGGGCTGTACCAAATAAATGGAACTATGAACTATGAGCATGAACCGGTGACCCCACAATCAATATCACACGTGGCTCTCACGTGCTGCTAGCTCTGCCAACGTCACGTCTCTACCTCTTCTGGAAGACGGATTCTTCAAACCTGGTCGATTTTTTTTAAATCTTAAAATCCCGGAATAATCTTCCGGAAGACAAAACTATTTTTTTTGTGTTATTTGACCAGGCAAGGCACACCAAGCTATATAACTCATTTTTCAGAAGCTCGCTCAACGAAGTGGCTTATCACGTGGAAATTTAAAGCATCGAAATTGTCCCCTGCCCTTTCTTACCTATATAACCTCTTGCCACGGCAGCTCTCTCGTCTACTTCAGCATTTGCTTGCTGTGGTTGTTCCATCCGATGATGATTGCTTGTGTTGCAATCGAAACGTCGTGATTTGTTTTATTTTATTTCTACCTACGTGACTTTACCTAAAGAACCAGAGTATGTATATTTCGATTGAAAGCTTTAAAGTTACGTAGAAGGGAAATAAAAATTTTTAATCAAATTCTCAATTCTCACTGAGAATTTTATTGTATTTTATTTTTATTATTTTATTTCCCTTCTACGTGACTTTACCAAAAGAACCAAGAATAGTATGTATATTCATTCTAAATGTGGTGAGAAACCGGGGTTAGGGATGGAACCCACGACCTCCTGCATACCAGGCGAGGTAGTTAACATCTCATAGCCACCGTGATGATGATGAGAGAGAGACACGCAAACTCCAAATAGACAGCAGCAGGCGTCAGGGTTAGGGATGGAACCCACGAGCTCCTGCATACCAGGCGAGATAGTTAACATCTCCTAGCCACCGTGATGATGATGAGATAGAGACACGCAAACTCCAAATATACAGCAGGAGGCGTCAGGGTTCGGGATCGAACCCACGAGCTCCTGCATACCAGGATAGGTGGTTAATATCTCGTCAACATCTTGCCACCGACAAGCATCTTCACTAATAAATAAATAAAACTTCCCAATTAGACAAAAGCAACTTCCGGAAGATTATTCCGTCTTCTAGAATATTTTTCCCTACCCTGGAATATTCTTGTGGAACATTACCTCTGTCTTGTGGAAGATAAATTTGACTTCTGGAAGTTTATTTCCGTCTTTTGGGAGATAACTGTGGAAGATGTATATATTATTGGTTACTCTTTGGTTTTTTTCGGTAAAGTAACGTAGAAGGGAAACAATAAAATAATAAAAATATAAAACGAAGAAATATGTATCCTTCCTCTGGGAGTTTCGTCGTCTTCTGGAAAATTTGTGAAAGTTTATTTCCCCCTTCCAGAGGAGATCCCCCTCATCTCCCCTTCTGGAATAATCTTCGTCTTCCGGAAGATTATTTCGTTTCATGGAAGACCTAATCCGTCTTTTCTTGAAGATGTATCCGTTCTTCCGGAAGATGATTGCGCAATATCCTTACGCCTATCTTGGAAGATCCACCACATCGCTCCTTCTGGAATAATCTTCGTCTTCCGGAAGATGATTGCGCAATATCCATCCGTCTATCTTGGAAGACCCCCCCCCCCCTCATCGCTCCTTCTGGAATAATCTTTGTCTTCCGGAAGATGATTGCGCAATATCCCTCCGTCTATCTTGGAAGACCCCCCCCTCATCTCCCCTTCTGGAATAATCTTCGTCTTCCTCCTCCGGAAGAGTATTCCGTCTTCCGGAAGACGCTTCCGGCTTCCGTGCGGATCGGAAGCTGGAGTATCAACATGGCGGCGGCGGCGGACGACCCGCGGGTGGATCACGAAGACGCCCTCGAGTTCTGGCTCAGTGAGTTCGCGCCTGGTCCCCTGGCTGCCTCCACCGTGCCCCTCCAACCCCGGCTCTGGCCTTGCTACCCCCCTCCCCATCCCCCCCGCCTGACGCCGCCGCTGAGGAAGAGGCGCGCGGCGGCGGCGCTGGTGATGGTGGGTGGAGGGCAGCCGCCATGGGGTGTTACGCGAAATTGTGGCGTT